TGTCGCCCGGGAGTCGGCCGCTGGTCAATTTCAGCAGCGGCTGAATCCGGGACAGCTGGGGTGCTGCTGGGTTGGTCCCGCAGCCCCAAGGGGTAGCACTACTGGACCTACCCGGCAGCACTCCAGCTGTTCTGCCCCCTGCTTCCCGGATTCAGCGCTCGTCAGTTTTAGCAGCGGCTGAATCGGGGAAGCCGGGGGCAGAGCAGCTCCAATGGTCCGGCTGCCCAGAGCACTTCCAGGTTCCTGATGGTGCCGGACCATCAGGAGTACCGGACCATCAAATGCTGGACCATCGGAGTTTTACTGTATTATGCTATAAACTTGAATGCATGCTACAATATTTCAACAACAATATAAAAGAATATGCTCATCTATGACGACAAAGCCACACTGTGTTTCAAATACCAAATTAATCATGGCAGATAATTTCCAAGTTAGTCAGCCATTTCTGATTTAACACATTCCTTTATGCTTATCAAAATTTTCCAGAAACCTAGTCTTTGCATTACTAGCATGGTTATTTCAAAAGAAATTGCTATTTTTATTGCAGAGTCAGTTGCATTCTGAAATGGGCTTGAAAATAAGGCATAAAGTTTTGTTTTTCCTATATGAGCAGATAGTCATTCAATATGAACATTTCAAAGTTATTACCTTTTAATTTCAAAGATATAGCTACATAAAAATTTGTACCTGATTTCACTGTTTAAAAAAAAAAAGCAGAGGCATGAAGAAGAATAGAAGTGGTACATAACAAGGAAAAAATATAAATTACTAGCTAATCCTTGAACTTAGGGTGTGTCTAGACTACCTAGTTTTGTCGACAAAAGTGGACTTTTGTCGACAAAACAATACCAGCGTCTACACTACCGCGGAGTTCTGTCGGCATAACGTCAACAGAACTCCGCGGTTTTGTCGACGCTGATATACCTCATTTTACGAGGCATAACACTTTCTGTCGACAGAACTCTGTCGACAGAAGGTGTTATTGTCCGTAACACTGCGTCCAGACTACGGAGTTCTGTCGACAAAGCGGCTTGCTTTGTCGACAGAACTCCATGTGTCTGGACGCAAATTGTCGACGGAAGTTTTGTCGACAGTATCTGTCGACAAAACTTCCGTCGACAAAATGCGGTAGTCTAGACGTACCCTTAGGTTGAGTACAGGTAGAAGGATAATCCTACAGTTATACAAATTAGAGTTAAAATTTAACAAGTTATTTCTTTTCGACTGCAGCTATGAAAGATCTCTCAACCTGATGGGTCTTCAGTCACAGGGTCATACAAAATTTTGCAGTTACCAACAGATCTAGTTCTAGACCTTCTTGGCAGGTAACATAAGGAAAAGAAGCCAACTCTTCTCCAGTAAAACAGGGATGAGTGGAAACCAATCAAACAGAAGGACAACAATAAGCGTACCCATACCTATTAACGAATACTCTTAGACTAGCAGAAGGGAGGTGAAGCAAAAGATTATATGCTTCCTACTAGGGTGCTAACTTTGGAGCACTCTGCCCCTTCCCTTAATTTCAAATCAATTCCAGCTAAAGAATATGCAGTATATTTTTAAGCTCCAATAATTTTTGGAGAAGATGTTTTATTATAAATCACTGGAGGCTAGATGACATTTACATTTTTGATACGTGGATATATTTGTTTACTAATAATTTTTTCAAGATTTATCTCCATGCTGTTATTTTGGTCCACAGATCCCATCATCAGTAAGAAAGGATGAGGGACAAAGGGACTAAAATAATTTTAAATAAAGACATCACCTATCCCAAAGTTATACAACACACGTCATTTCTGACAAATTTTTTCTTCACCTCAAGTAAGAGTATTACAGGTCAAAACTAACCAAGCTTTGTTCATTACATTCAACAAGTAGCTAATACTCTCACTGAGCAAACCTTACAGCATGTTACAAAAAAGTTGAAGACGCAGATTGTTCCTTTAACATTTAAAAAAAAGTTTGGAGTGTTCTACTTAAACTTGAGTAGACATATGGCTATGTCTACATTGTACACCTTAGAATGTCACAGCTATGCTGCTGGAACACACCGTTGTAAAGTGTGTTATATAGCCGCACTTAATCACCAGGAGAAAGTTCTCACAGTGACAAAATTAAACCATTTCCAATGAGAAGCAACAGCTTCACTGCTGGTAGTGCACGTATCAAAATCAGTGCTTCTTGTTGAAACTTTTGCCACTCAAGGAGTTGTTTTTTCACACTGCTAAGCCACAAAAGTTTTAGCAAAAGTGCCAGTGTATAAAAAGTCTTGATTTTTTTCCCCAACTATTGCACTAAGCCATATGTCTCTTAATTAAATTCTATGATGTAGAGTCTTGTGTAATTCCCTGAATTCTGTTTACTTGAGTTTGGACCATGAGGACCATCCGTCATCCCAATACTGTAAAGACAAAACAGACTTTTCAATTTACCTATAAAGGCATTTCCATTACTTTTAAACTAGTTTTCTGCAATCATGTGCAAGACTTTTTTTGTGATTTTATAAGCATTTCCAGTTTGTCTTTTCATCTATTTGGACTATGTCGTTTCTTTTGAAATACACTGAATGAATAAAGATTCTAAGTTAACCATCTCAGAATACAAAATTTTAAAAAGTAACATTCTTATCAGAACACTTTGTTTCTCTTCACTGGTTCACAAACACGTCATATGGTTGTTGGTCTGCCATATTCCACTTTTTACTGTGTTTACAAAATGTATCATGGCAATGACTAACTTTCCATCCTTCCATATAATTACAGATCAGTTAACCAAGCAGGGATACAGGCCTACACCATCACAGTAATGTCCTAGATATTTGTAAAGGTTATGACTCCAACACAAACAGAAAAACGGTATGTATATGACAAAGGTATTGGGGAAGGAAAATAAGTGTAGTCCCATGCCCCCTGGTGGAACAAAATAAATATCTGAGGACAAAATCTCTGCTGGATTTTGAGACTACTTTAAAACAAAATTCAGATTCTGTACCTCAAGACAGAAAACATGATCAGGTTCAAAGCATATTTATATATTTGCCAGAGCAAAAAGTTTGTGCACGTGGATGATGGGGGTGGGGTAAAAGCATAGGTTAGCTCTGCAGTGAACTCATGCTGGGAATCTCACTGAAGTCACTTCAGCTCTGTGCAGGCACTTAAATCTGCCTGCATGGATCTAACTGCAGAACCAGAATCTAGATTTTTTTTTCCCTTTACAATTTTTAAAAGTGGACATTCATATCCTCAGAGGATGATAAAGCAAAATGCAAAAGCAACATGTTAAAGGTGAAATGCCTAAGAAAGCAATAGGAATTTTAATTTTATTTTATTCTAATAATTGTATTTATGCTATTCTTCAGAGTTCTAAATTTGATCAAGAGTCAATAAAAATGTTCCTTATTTTTTCATTTAACTGGTGCAACACTACAAGATTCTACTTTACCTCCTACCTAATGTGTTTTCTGAGGGGAGGCGATGGGAAAATTATTATTTACTCACTATTAAAGCAGGTATACTAGTGGGGGCTGCAAGATTGTGTCCATTCTAATTCTGTTTTTAAGTTGATCCTAACTTTCTGCAATATTCGCT